GCTGTGATGACGTCACGTACGCGCTTTCGTCGAGCGCGCTTTAGTCTACCGCGGATTTGTGGTGGAACCATTTCTGCCATAGGAGAAAGCATGGGCTGCCACTATAAAAGGCAGCTCTGTGCTTTTTGTAAAAAAAACAAAACAAAAACAATTCCTACATTATAGCCACAAATGCAAAAATTTAAATAAACAGGGTTTGAATTGGATAAAAGCCAACATAGAAATACATATAGAGAAAAAAACAAGACCAGGGCAAGGAATAAAAAAATTATATTCAGTAAGAATTTGGTACCATGTCTCCCCGAAAATAAGACAGGGGCTTATTTTCTCCCCCCCCCAAAAAAAATAAGCGCTTGGCCTTATTTTCGGGGAGATCTTACAATTATTTTTGAGGCGCAGGAGGCCCGTTAAACCTCTGCCTGTGGCGCGTGGATCAGCTGATCCAGAGAGGGCCGGAAGTTCTATCTCTGTTTCTGGTACACTCTTTGCGGCTGCCCCTAAAAGGGGCACAGTAGCTAGTGTTTGCGATAACGGCTACCGCAAGGCCGTTCTGCATGGATGGCAGGTGCATGTGCGGTGGGTGGGGCATGTTCCCCCCATTTCTCCCCGCAGGAAATGGCGGGGACCGGCTGCACATGCGTTTAAATATTTTAGGGGAGGGCTTATTTTCAGGGGGGGCTTATTTTAGCACATGCACTCAAATGCCTTATTATCCAGGGAGGTCTTATTTTCTGGGAAACAGGGTAGGAAAAAAATAATACTAATGGTTTAGGAACATAGCGGGAAGAAATTTGACTACGATCATCCAATGATCAGCAATGTTTCATCCTCAACTTCCAGAATTCTCAGCCAGCATGGCCAAAGCTGGGAACTGCACTCCCAATACACTGACTGGGAATTAGATTAAGAGCAATCTAGAACAATATTCAAAGTGGCGTTGGCGGCAATTGAGACTTTACTTTTAACCTACTAAGTGGTTGTCTTTGGAGTAGCAGAAAACAACAGTGAAAGTCACCAGCACCCCACTGTACAATTTGTAAGAGTACAAGTTTTGAAGCAATTAATAAAGCTTTAGAAAGACCATGGAGTATACAATTTAGCTGATATTATTTAAACTACATCTCTCCAAAGTAAAAAAGCCACTGGGGAACAGAAGCTATAGTTTCATTTATGCATCAGTTATGAGCATAAACATGGTAGATACATGCTTATATTTATGTCTCTTTACCAGTGGAATGGAAACTACAAATTTAAGAAAGAAATTCTTGAATAGCGACAGATCCCTGCTTACGATTGCACTGAAAGAAAAAAAAATGTACAGAATTTAACATTTTTATTTCTGACTAGGCAAAGTAATCATTACATACGTTCATTGTAACAAAAGAGTAATGGATAATTACTACAGGTAGTCCTCGACCTACGACCACAATTTATGCTGCTAAGTGAGAAATTTGTTAACGGAGTTTTGCCCCTGATTTCCCTTGCCACAACTGTTAAGTGAATCACTTCCGTTTCTAAAATTAGTTAACATGGTTGTTAAATTGATCTGGCTTCTCCATTGACTTTGCTTGTTAGAAGGTCGCAAAAGGTGATGATGATATGACCTCAGAACACTGCAACGGTCATAAATATGAATCAGTTCTCAAGCTTCCAAATGTAAACCACGGGGGGATGCTGCAATGGCCAGAAGTGTGAAAAATGGTCATAAGTCACTTTTTTTCAGTGCCGTTGTAACTTCAAATGGGCACTAAATGAACCGTTGTAAATCGAGGACTACCAGTACTACAGAAGTCTAATAAACAACATTCCTCAATAGATATCAACATTTGTAAGGTAAAAAGAAAAGCTATCCTACATTTCATAGAATGCAGGATTACTGCATGAATGTCAAAATGGAAAGCTTAAAATAAATTCCTCTCCATGAGATTTGTTTAAAATTGAGTAAAATTCTTGACATCCAAGAGTATTCATGGTTTAGATAATTTGTGCCCACAATACTGCATTGTATTTGCATTGCAACACAGGAGTAAAGAATCACATATTATTACCTTCCATAAAATAAACTCGTACATATATGCAATTGACTGACACATTTAGGTATGTTGAAATACCAACTTTAAAACTCCCAGTCAACCAGTGGTGGGTTTCAAAAAATTTTCGAACCTACTCTGTGGGTGTGGCCTCCTTTGTGGGAGTGGCTTGCGGGTCATATGATCTGGTGGGAGTGGCTTGCCGGCCATGTGTTCTCTCTCTCTCTCTCTCCTTCCTTTTGTCTCTCTGTCCCTTTTTTCTTTCATCTCTCTCTTTTTCTTTCTTTTTTTCTTTTTATATTTCTTCCATTCTTCCTCTTTGTGTGTGTGTGTGTGTGTGTGTGTGTGTGTGTGTGTGTGAGAGAGAGAGAGAGAGAGAGAGTGGTGGGTTTCAAAAATTTTTGGAACCT